CACACATACAAGTGCCAGTCGTTCCCGACTTTAGGGGCGGTGCTCATCTCCTTTCCAAAGCCGAAGAGCCAGCGTTGTCCGAAGACGTCTCCGTGGTCATGTGGCCGGCAGGACTCAACGCCAAAGTTGCATGGAGCGCTGTTCCCTTCCCACCAAAGGTGGTTCCTATTTTCCTACTTGCACTTTTTAAGTGCTTTCGAACTGCTCGGTTGGCAGAAGCTGGGACAAGTCATGGGAGCTCACTCCCTTACGCGGCACTCAGGATTCGAACCGGCGACCTTTCTGATCAACAAGCATCTTAGCCACTGAGCCACTGCTGTCCTTTTTTTTTTTAGACTAGACATACCCAATTCCTGCAACCGCTCTTCATACGTTTTAGCCTCCAGCCCCGATCATCCTTGTTGCGTTTCTCTGCCCTCTTATCTAGGGCCTCAATATCCTTCTTTGAACCAACTGCAGGAGTCCAAGTGTGTCCTTTTGATCTCACCTTATTTGGAACGACGCGGGAGTGGAAGACTGGGAGACCCAAACCGAAGTGTCCATGAAGCCACCAGAAGTCCATCGCGATTCAGGCCCAGCTTTGTTTTCTCCACTTAGCGATGTTAATAGCAGAGCTATTATAAAAGCTGGTGCTTGTGGCAGGAGGCCAGTAAAGAAATTGGTCGGGCTCAGTTTTCATCCAGCTTTTACATTATCTGCCCGGAGTGCTTATATCTCTTCAACAAATAAAAGTTCCCGTCACCTGTTCGGTGATCCTCAAGGATCACGAGAGATCCTGAAGCTGAAATTCCTGCAATCCCCTCTGGAATGGAGAGAAATCCTTACCAGAATTACCGGAATGTATTTCCGGACCGATTTCCTACAGGCAATGTTTGCATGAAGTCTCTTTGGCAAATCTAGAAGCAGAATTTGTTGGGAATATTCTAATAATGGTACTGAATTCGTTTGGGGCAGGGGGGGAGAGACCGCAAGCTTGTCAAACCCGCCAATGTTAAAAGTCACGAAAGTTTAACTAAGGTTGACGCTGAAGAAGCTTCAGGTTTTGTCTTCCCTTGTTCTGTTTAGGGGTGTTGCAACACAGTTCGTAGGGTTTTAGTTGGTCTATTCAAGTGTTTCTAGATCCCAGCAACTTTGAGATGTGTGGATTTCAACTCCCAGAATTCTCCAATCGGTCGTCGTTTCCCCGTTTTGTCCGTTTTCTGCCCGCAAAGAAGCTTCGCTTCTAATCCTCGCCCTCCGATTTAGACGCACGATATGTGTTTGCTTTTAAACAAATGCTTCCCCACCTCACCCTCTCCAATAATTCCCTGGAAGATGCAAAACTCAATTCCTCAAGATCTAGTAGGACCCCCGCCCCTTCTTTTAAGTCAATTCCACAACTAGGATCTTACAGAGAGCAAGGGTTAGTCAATTTCACCTTCCTGTCTAATCAATTTCACCAGCCGTTCAGCCGAATCCGCGACTCTTAAACCTATCACCTTTTCTTGATGTAGGCTAGCAGGGAGTCCTCGACTCACGACCACCACGGAGGCCAAAAATGCCTGTTGCTAAGGGAAACATTTGTTCAGTGAGTTCAGCCCAATTTGACCACCTTCCTTGCCACAGTCGTTAAGTGAATCCCTGCAGTTGTTCAGTTAGTAACAGGGTTGTTAAGGGAACCTGGCTTCCCCCATTGACATCGATGTGTCAGAAGGTTGCAAAAGCAGATCGCGTGACACATGTGTGTGTCCCCCCACCTCCGGGGGCACAGGGCAACTGTCCTAGGTACATGTCAGTTGCCAAGGGTTTGAATTTTATTCACGTGACTAATGCTGGGATGCTGCAACCATTGTGGGGAAAACGGTCGTAAGTCACGTTTTTCAGGGCTGATGTAATTTTGAATGGCCACTAAATGAAAGGTCGTAAGTCCAGGACGACCTGCGTTCCAAGCACTTCTTTGCAAGTAATGCTACCAAGGCAGGCACCACTGAGGCTTTGCAAGACTGTAGTAACCTTCTCCTAGGCCCTCCTCCCTTTTCCAGAATCCAAAGGCCACTCAGATATCCTCCAGAGTGACTTTCCTCAAAGCTTAAAGGCTTCTCCCATCCCATCAAGTTCTTCCCCCCCCCCCCCCAGATCCTATGGGAGAAGAAGGTCCTCCTTAGGAATGAATTGCCAACCTGATCTCCTCCAAAAACATATCATTATTATTATTAGTATTATTATTATCAGCAGCAGCAGCACCACATGGTTCAATTATATTATTTTGCTCTTATTACTAGGACAGGTGAGTTGTAGAAAGGACAGGAAGCCCTTCTACTAACTATGCAATTTCACTGATCCTGCATCTGGAGTAAATGGTAGTTTACTTTACCCCCCCCCCCCCTCCGCCCCCGTACAAAGTTGCCTGCCCCAGAATTAAATAGTTCTTAAAAAGGGAAGACCTGGTATCAGCTTTCTCTCTCTCTAGAAACAGTGTGTGTGTGTATATATATTAGATTTTTTACAACCCCTGGTAAGCCCCAATTATGGGAGGAAGCTAACTGCTTCCATCATCTGTCAATCGGCTCGTCACAAGAGTCCATCACGACAGAAACCCAATGTTTTTACTGTTGCCTTTGTTATATTTGTGTTTTTTTATTTGTCCCTTTATTTATCAGCACAAATAAAAAAACATATATATATATATATATGT